AATTGTTGGACTCAAGGTCTCACAAAGAACAATAAATATAGCCAGACTGTCTTGGTTTCTTTTTCCTCATTGTTAGTTTCAAGGACTGAAGGACCACTTGCAAATTCAACACAATTTAAATAAGAACCCTGACAAGCAAAGAGCTCAACAAAACGCACTCTGAATCAAGGTGTTTCCCTTTTGACATTTCTTAAGTGGCAGTAGTTGGCTTTGTGCTGGGAGGTGAGCTGTTATGCTTTAAGAAATGGGAAAAAAAGAAATACTGTTTTTCACTGGATTAAAAGATAAATAAAGCAAACAGCAAAGCTTAAACATACCACTGAGCCTAAAATGAAATGTTTTGATTTTTTCATTTTACTGGAAATCTGAACAAACATCGGTTTCAGATCAGCCCATTTTTAATGTTATTTTTCTTCTATACAACCAGTGAACCACAAAATCAATTATTTGTACATCTCTAGTGACCAGCAGATTAAATTCAATCCAATAGAGAAACAGCACAAGGAGTCAATGAGGAGTGGAGAGATGGAAGAAAAAAAATGGACTGAAACAAAATGGACTGAAACAATGGTGCAGGCAGCTGTAATAGGGCTTCTCTGCCCACACTTAGGATGCCATTTCACAACTACTTCAGCACAACTCTAATCCATGCTGTTGCTGAAAACAGCAGTTTCATCAGTCCCTTTCTGCCTCTGTCCCTGTAGCCCCATCCCTTTAATAGCCCCTGGGAACACAATGAATGAGACTGGAAAAGTGATCCAGCTGAAAACGAACTTTGTTTGTTTGTTAGTTTTCCTGAAGGCTTAGTTTTCTGCCAGATCAGTCCCTCAGCTGTGGAAATCATAGCTTTGCATGCAACTTGCCCAGAAGGTCTGGCCAGGGAAGCCAAAATTCCTGTGCTAGGAACTACAGAAAGCAGTCATTAAAAACTCATATGCACCTAGTCAGCCTGAACATAGGATTCTCCTGTCACCTAGGAATAAGGACAGGCCACACACATCCAGCCAAACAAGCAGGACGTGCAGCAGCCCAGCCCTGTGCTGCTGTGTGGGGCTGGGGGCAGTGGCAGGGCTGGCCGTGCTACAGCAGATTCCTCAGCAACAAAAATGAGTGTCTTTTCCTGGAAGTCAACAGATTCATTTATTCATTTCACAGAGAACCAGGCTCAACGGCAGAAAAGCATCTGCATTTCTAAGTCAATTGTAGCCTGTGCTGTGTGCACAGTAAAGATCCTCACTTCATGGTAATTCTCTTCCTCTTTGTCAAGGGAATTAGGGAGCATGTAGCTGCTCAGATGTGTGGGTTTTCTAGGACTAAATAAAAATCTCTAGCATGGCCAGAGCTGCACTCAGTACTGCAAATCCCTTTATGAGCACCCAGTTTAGTGCCCACTCTGAATTGGAGAATCGGGGAAATCACAGAGACATCACTGAGATGGGACCCTTGGGGTCTCCAGTCCAATCTCTTGCTTACAGCAAAGCTCATCTTGCCCCTTTCCTGTGGTAACAGGAGTGCTTTCTGATCCAAGCAGTGCCCTAGCCACAAATTCAAGCCAAGCTGAGCTTCATCTACTTTCCAGCCCTTGTGTAGTATCTAGCACCCAAGGCTCTCATGACTAGGAACAACAACAAGGATGGTGATAATGAATATTCAGACATCCCACAAACCACTCTGAGCATCTGCCACCCTATCTGCATTAGCATCAGAGTGCACAGATAATGATCAAAGCAGCATTTTCCTGCCAGAGGCCCCCCTAAACCAGCCTTATTAGTGTGAATCAATGCTGATTAATGTGCCTCCTTAATGCAATTGTATCTACCCCTACTGTCCATAATTCAATATAAAACACCTCCCTCCTATACTTGTCTTCCTCTTGATAAATCATGCAAGGTGCAAACCTTGACTGAGGGCACCAGTAAAATCAGTGGTCCAACTTCTGCTAAAAGGAGTCCTAAAATCTGCCAAAATGCAAAACACTGGAGAGAATGAGTCATTGGAGACTGTAACAGGGAGCTGCTTTGGGGCTAGATGGTAGATCTGGATCCAGATCTATGAAAAAATAAACTGTTGCACAGCAATTCTGCTCATGCAGTGTTAGCCTTGCTAACCCAAACGGGCTCTTCCTTGCTGTTGACAGACACGTGGACATCACCCGCTATGGAAGGAGGAGTGCTGCAATTTTTAGCCTGATGTTGCACCTGTAGAAGTCAGAAAATGCTGCCTATTGCCTTACACTGCTGTGCAACATCGACAATGGCTTCCTCTCTCTGGGTTTTCAATGTAAATGACACAGTTCTAATACACTGTGACCATGCTCCTGCACAGCAAGACACTGGGGAAATCACCATTAAACAAGTGACAGTGTTTCAATTAGCTACAGGCAGGGTCCTCTTGTCTGATTTCACATCTACTCCAAAACCTTGGCCACCACGGCTGTTTTAAGATCTGCTGCTGATGGCCATTGGAGAAGATTGGGGGTCAGGTGAACCCACACTGAACAACAATTGCCAGATGGAGCTGTTGGATTGAGGAAAAAAACAGCCAAAGAAACAAACAAAAAGTCTGGGAGAAAAGGAGCACTGAAAGAGAAGACAATGTAGGAAAATTCCTGTGCACCAAATCAGCTGCTATCCTAGAGAAAGGAGTGCTACGCTTAACACAGAAGATGTGCCTCCCTTGGGCTAGTCTAGTGCAAAGAGCAATTGAGAGACATCATTTGGGAGCAAAAAGGCCTCTATGTTGGAATTAAACAGTTGACAAAATCCCAACAGCTTCACAGATTCCTGAAGTCAATTTAAGGAGCCTGCAAAATGAGATTTTTCCCCTGTGGCTCTCAGTACGATGACATGTTCTGGAGTGTGTGTGCTCAGAGTCCAGCTGTGAATCACTGCAAGTGGCTCCACTCATTCACCAGAGCTAGCCTGATTCTGATACTGCTTTAAAAACGCACGGGCCACCTTTCCAAGTGATCAGTCCTGCAAGCAGAGCTGGATATGAAAAAAGAGCCCTCTAAAGCTCTACCTAATGCCTCCACTGCTTGGCTGGAGGCACGCACCTCCCAGTCATAATATATGGCCAAGAAATGCATCCCCAGATTTTCTCCCTCTTTTGAAGAGGTACAACATCATGTCCTCCCTATGCAAAAGTTTCTTTGATAAGTAACTGAAATAGACCTTCAAGCCTTTTGCAGTCTCCTACAAACCAAAGGGGAATTTTCTCCTCACTAGCCAGAAATCACAGGTTTCACATTAAATTTGAGCAAAATTTTCTCTCCTTTATGAAGACGGAGACAACAAAGTGGCGGCACAGGCTGCCTGCTCGGGGTGTGAATTCTCCTTCACAGGAAACCTTTCATGAGAGATTGCCAAAAACCTTTGTCAGATGCAACACAGGTATGGCTGACTCTGCCTTGGGGGAGAGGCATGAATTAAATGACCTCTCAAGGTCCTTCCAGCCCCGTTTCTCCGTGATTCTCAGAGACAGGATCCCAGACTTGATGGATCTCTGCCCTGACCTACACTGACAGTCCCTGGATGCGTCTGAACACAGACATTGCAGGCATTTCCCTCCTGCTACAGCTCCTGCAGACTGCTGCAAGGCACTGAGGGCTGAAAAGCTCTTTAGCAAAGGGCAAAGCCACTTCCAGAGGCACTGCATGGGGCAGGGGTGCGCAGCCTCGATCAGGGTGCAAGCTGTCAGCCAGGGGAGGGGGGGAGCTGAGGTTACGCATAGCCAGCAAAGCCTTTGTGAAAAAAACATGTATTCCCTGATTCCCTGCTCCTCTGTGCAAGCAAAACCTGTGAGGTGTCCTTAAAGGAAGCGTGGCAAGATAATTTCTGCTTTCTGGAGCTGACATCCCCCAGGCTGTTTTGAATGAAGACAACAAGCCAGGACAATATTTTCCAACCATGCTAACCTGCCCTTGCTCTGTGGGCTGCTGCAAGGGGAGGGGATGCTGCACTCGCTGGAGGCCATGGGACAGGCAGAACTCATTTTTCTTCTCCACACATAGATGATGTCTCGCATGTTGCTATTACTCTGCAGATGCTTTTGGCTTTCTGCCCACGGGAGGACGCTACCGCATGCACTCGGTTTTCTGCTCCTCTTGACCCCAGCAGTCTGTGTGTGCATCTGTGTGCATGCTGCCAGTACGCTACTCACCAACACTTTCCCACCTACTAGTTTGCGTCGATATGTTTGCAAGTGTCTTTCTGAAACACAACAGGACTATATAATTATGTAAATGTGCACATGTCTATGAGAGTTTTGCAGTCTCTCTGGGTTTTAGCCCAAATCTCATGATACTTGCTGGCTTATTCCCCTTCCTTCCAAAGTGCCTGCTGCTGCAATAGGAGGCTCACATGAGCACTCCAGCTTTTCATACTCAAATAGCAAAAAAGATAAGTATATTTCTAAATATCACAGCTGCCAAGAAGCACTTGAAACAGGCAACAACAAAGGCTTCAAAACCTAGAAGGCGAAGGAAAATCCAAATTCTGCTTATTTGCTGTAGTTTTTTAATTGAATGACTTTCAAACCAAGCTCACGGTTCTGGGGACAAGTCCAACCCATGCACAGGAACCATCTGCAGAGGGCTGCAGTAGGCAGCACACAGCTTAGGCACATGCACTGTGCATCTTTATGTGTGTTCTCGCCCACATGAACATTATGCTGTTGGCAGTGCACATGCATGAATTTGGTACAGAAACTTGGGACACTGACTTGAGAAACGAGCTTGTGAGCCTGTGAATGGATCTGCCCCACAGATGAAGTGCAGGAGTTGAAGTTCTCAAACTACATGACAGCAATACAGACAAGTCTCTGAAGCAACCTGCATTGCCACCAGAGGACTGTGGGGAACCTAAGAAGCATTTCTGGGCGGAATGGGTACAGTGATGCATCCCTCCATTGACAACAAGCCTTGATCCCAAGAGAACTGGCTGTGTGCCCACCACCTAACAAATCCTCAAAGTCACAGGTGCTGTAGGAAACCAACATACCTGTATATTTTATATCTGGTTGTAAATCCTTGACGATGTCTTTCCACAAAGGATAAGTAGCTCCGCGAGTGGTGGAAAGGCCCCCTGTCTGAAATAAGCCAATCAAACTCCTTGGAGACATGTTGGTTGGTGGCAGCTGGGTCCTGGTGGGAGGGCTGTACTAGTATATGGTCCCATATAAACAGGAGGTAGAGGAACTCAACAAGCCTCCAGTTCATGCTTTTCTGTCTGCCTTTTTCCTCTCATTCTTGCTCCATTCTGTGGAGTCCTGTTGAAAAAGAGAGGGAAGAGGAGGAAGGAAAGAGAGAGAAATGGAGGGGAGGGAGAAGGGAGAGAAAGAGAGAGTTTAAAAATGGGAATTGCTTTGATCCTTTGACAATCATCTCTCGGGGTGAAAACAGACATGAAAAATCACTTTTTAAAAGCCTTCAGTCTGCCTGTGTGTTAGTGCTTGAAGTATTTGGCAGCGTTTTATTCATGTATTTAAGTGGTGCCTTTAACCTCCTGAGCACATACCACCTTTGAAATAACCAGGTCCTGACCTGAGACATCCTCACCCCAGCTTTTCCATCATCTCCCTCGTGCAATGCTCTGCAATGCCGTGGAGATGAGCGAGGGCTGGGCGCAGAAGGTGGCCGCACCCCGGGCTACAATTACCCGGTTATTGTCCCTTTAATGCTGTGCCAGAGAAACGTGTCTTCTGCTTTCATGTCTCTCTGACGATCTGTAATCCATACTCTGCGCAACCTGAGCAATCTATAAAGACCCAGCTCTCACTTTAAAGTGTTGCCAAAAAAGAAATAAAATAATTACCCAGGTTTCAGCGACAAGCACATGCAAAAGCAGGCACACACACACACACACACATGCACACACAACTATAGAATCCAGCCAAATTTTGAAAGCCAAAAAAATCACCCCAACCTGCTTTGCTGCCTGGGTGCCAGGGAGGTGTGTGTTTGGAGGCGGGGGATAGGGGCTGCTGCTATTTGGGCTCCTGTAGGACCTTGAGGCTCTTCCCAAGATCAAGGCTCTGTGGGGAGATGTGCTGAACATGCATATTCAACATATTTTACTAGGGAGCTGAAGGGGATGCTCCCCAGCACCTGGTGCGGGGCACGCCATCCCCCTCCTGTATGAATCGTGGCTGCAGGCAGCCCAGCTCCTCGCCCCAATGTGTTCAATGTCTGAATAGACAAGACATATGATGAGTGGGAAGGGAAACAGAGGGGTGAAACACCTCACCAAAGGTTACGCAGCAAGCTATGGATACAGCTGGAAGAAAGCCCTCGACTCCTCAATTCCATTCCCAGCATTTCAGCCGTTAGATCATCCACCTCCGCAGTAATGCTGCTGGCACCATGCCCCTCTCAAAACAGAGCCATGTGCTCCATCGGTGCAAGGGAGCAGCTTGGTTTGTCAGCATCCATGCCTGGCAGCAGCCCCTCCCCTGCGGCTTGCTACACGCAAGGGAATGCAGTACAGCAGCAGCCCCACATGCAGGTTGTGCCCCCAGCTCGCTGGGGCAGAACATTCACGTGGCAGGGTGTTTGTGAGGCTGCTCTGCTCCTCTCTGCACATAGGGCATGTTCCTCCTGCTGCCCTCCCCTTGTCCATCTGCTCCATCCTTGCTGAGCTCCATCCTTGCAGAGATGTGGCAGCATGGTGGGGATGCCCAGGCAGGCAGAGTGGTCTCAAAGCTGTGTGCCCCTCTCTGGCCATACCAACCTAGCCAAAGGTTGTCCTCAGGACAGCTGATAGACACCCACTTTTGCAGAATATAGCGCAGAGAGCCAGGACAGATATACATTTGCAGCACTGCATGTAGACATGAGAGCTTCAGCACTGCAGGCACCATTGTATAGACCAGAGGGCACCAGCTCTGCAGCCAATATGGTCATCATCTCCTTTGCTCCGGGAGCTTTCACTGAGACCAAAGCAATGCTGCCGCCCATGGCAGCGAGCACATGTCTCTGCACAGACATATTGAACCTGGGAGTGTAATGGGGAGCACGAGACTGGAGTATGCGTGTACTGAGCGTGTGGGAGTCTGCACGTGTGCACAGCATGTGCTCACAGAGCTGCAGCGAGCTCAGCAGCATTTGACAAAAAGGAGTTGTGTAAGCCTGGTTAAAAACTACGATCAGCTGTTGCGCTGCATGAAGAAATGAAAATAATTAACTATGGGAAAGTCAACAAATGTTTGCTTTTTTTCTGTCGGGCACATATAAACTTCTTTCCACTTGCTGATAGAATATTACTGTTATTAATAATAATGGCAACTGTAGCTCGTAACCGAAGAGGCTGTTCCCCTTCTGGAGACATTTTTAATATTAGCCCTCACCACTGCCTCTCATTTCTGCCATAAACCCGACACATCTCAGTGCTTTAGCCCATCACTTCTCAGAAAGGAGTGGTTCTACTTTGCCTTACAAAACTGGGCTTGGAGAGTTTCTAGCCCCACATTGAGGAGAACACAGTGTACTTTCAGGGAGATATGGTACATATCTGCTTCCACTCACATGTGGCATGAACCTGAAGTGGCTATTTGGACATGCTCTCACCTACATCCCATGCACTTCCAAATTCCTGTTCAGGGGAACGTTTCTCTCATTTCTCTGTCCCGCTGCTCTTTGCACACCCATAGCACCCTGCCATCCCAGTAAGCAGCTGCAAGCCCAGCGTATTTGCCATTAGATGGGTGTGTAGATTTGCTGCTGATAACAATCTTTACACATCGTCCAAACTCCCTTGCTTGTCTGTTCATTAAACTCTTCTGTAACTACTTCCTCCATCAGCCAGCCTGGATCAGTTTTCCTTTAAACATTTCACTTCCTATTGAATTTCTATTGCAGAGAGGCAGGGAGCTCTTACACACCAAAGCGGAGTGACAGCCTACCTCCATTTCCCAGCACAGTACAGGCACAAACTGAAACAGGAGAAGAATCAAATGAAGTGGGTTTCAGAGAAATCCCACTGTGTCCTCGCATCCACAAGCAGCATACACTGGGGAAATTTCAGCTTACAAGAGAGAAGCAATATTCATTAATTCTCCCCACACACCTCTTCATCATCCTCCCTTCTTTTCTTTTTAGGTTGGATGAGCGGCATTGTGATGCCTTAACCAAGACTTCTAGACATGACAAGCACTTGCCTTGAGATGCCAAGAAATGGTCTCCTTGCTGTCTGGAAGCTGGCTGGATGTATCAGTGTTGAGAGCAGGCAATGGTGCCCGAGGCAGTGAGGATGGTAGAGCACAACTGGGTCTAGATGACTACCACAAAACCAACTTTAATTTTTTAGTAGTATCTTTTTCCCCCCTGTAGCTGCTGTAGAGATGTTGTTTCACGTTAAATATTAATACACACCATGGGGCTGGTCCCTGTGGAAGCTCTAAAGCTTACTGAAGTGGGATTATTCTGCGTCTGAGGCAATAATGTGAGGTCTATTCAATCTAACTCCTAACAAGTTTGAATCAGAAATTAATTTGTTATGTGGTGTTATGAGGCTCCACAGATACAAGATATGTTCTGAGGATTGTGCAAGGCAGCAAGACATATGGGGGAAGAAGAGGAAGGAGGAATGTCTCCAAGTATGTAGCCTTTGGTAGGAGACCTGAGAGTAACTGAAAGCTGAATCTGGCACAGACACAATCTCTGTATTAAAGGATGGTCTTGCTGGAAGTGGATTTTGATCCAGGAATCTGGAATCATTCTGTTCAACTCTGCCCAATACATCCTCCATTATTTTGGGCAATGCCCTTAAATGCTTTCTTTTGCCTCACTTTCCAACTATCAGTTTGGACACATGGTATTATTTGTTTGACAGATTTGCAGTCTTGTTGGAGAGGCCATCATCTGAGTATAGCACTTAGCAAAACGCTGTCCTGTTGCATTAGGTGTTCATCTCCTAAAAGCAAGGAGAAGCAACCACCCCTTGGTGTCAGCAAGCTTTGCAAAGCAGCAGTTAGAAAAATCCAAGCCAATAAAGCTCATTCCCACTCTGGAGCATCATACAGTAATGCAGTGATCTGGGTTCTTATGGTTTCATCTCAATGAACTAAACGATGAGATTATCACATCTGTTAATAAACATGATCAGTGGGTGAGCCAGGACACAGGCTAAAGTTCACTGTAAATAAGTGCTGGATACAAAATATGAGAGGTACTGATTCCAAGTCATTTTATGGTCAGTTTCCAGCACTGTCCATCATGAAGGCATATCTGTCAGTGCCAGTGTTACAAAGCCTCTTAATTAGGCAGATAAAGATGGCCTTATTATAACTCGAATTCAGCCTGGAACATTAAATGTTCCTTGTCTTATAAGTATTCAGGATTCTTGCAGGAAAAATAGGCAGGTGCTTTCTTTAAAGTGCAAGTTGTATTTGAATGTACACTTAATTTCATTGTGATTGATATCGGTGTGTTAATTATATTCTATTTTGGGCAATACCTTTGCTGTCACAAGGCAGTGTCTTTTATCCAAGGAGTTCAAATTGAATTAGAGACATTAATTAAAGCTCTCAGCACTCTAGTAAGGCAGGCAAGTGCTGTTACTCCCATTGTTTCTTGAAATGAGAAGAAAGGAATAAAGCTGAGTGTCTACTTAGCCACTTAAAAGGTAATTTTTCTTCAGTGAGATAGCTCAGAATGATAGATTTTGCACAAAATGATTCTGCAAGATCTTTTTCTTATCAGGAAGCCTGTGTAGAGTGCAGGAACTGACTGTTCATTGCTTGTTCTAAACACTCCTCTTCCTCTGCCTCCTGGGATTTTCTACCTTTCTTCTAACCTCTGTACCTTGCACTTATCCCTTCTATTAGAATCAAACTGATCTTGCACATATCCCTTCTGTTTTCTCATGTTCATCACTGTATAAACTATTTCCATCAGAAATGCAGACTCAGGAAATTACTGAACACAATATTTGCAGCAAAGAAATAAGTTCCCTATCTCTTTAAGCTTCATGCACCAATAATTCATTCTTGTGTTCCACATTTCGTTCTTGGCAGGTTGAGAGAGGTTTCTGCCTGCTGCCATTTACCAGAGGGAAGAGGCTAACAATTGCTATTTGTATCTGAAACACTTCTGTTCTGCAGCAACTTCACACGCTGCTTTAGGATGCTGATAAATTAGTAAAAGACTGAGGTGTCAAGGGAGAGATGAAACAGCTTCTGTTAGTTTAGAGCTCGACCCTGCGAAGTGAGGAACATCTGACCTCATTTCAGCAAACAGCTTAAGTGTACACTTAATTTTAAGTATGGGAGAT